TTATTGTTCTGGGTTTTCAAACTGTTACAGGAGTCTATCGTCAGAGAAAGGAAATAACAACAAAAGACTGGCTTGTTATAACTATTTTTACACACGTTTAACGAGCCACTCTTTTGTTATTGTTTACTTTCTCTGATGATGGACTCATGTACGAGTCCGAAAACTCAGAACAGTAAACAAATCAATCCGGTGTTCAATCATTTTTCTGCTTTACCGATTCTGCAGTGTGTTTTCGGGAATGAAGTACGACCTAGGTAAAGTGTTTATATTAACTGTTGTGCGGCAAAGTAGTTCACTAACGTCACAACACCGACTTTCGACGGGGCTGCTGTAAGGCCAGCTAACAAATACTAGCGAAGTATTTGGTAGATGTCCTTCAATGCGGAACAAAAAAGGTATCGTAATACTTGGTCATGACACGTCAGGAAAATAAAGCTCTTGTTTCAGTGGTCGCATTTTCCTCTTCAGTTATTTGAATATGTTCGTAGATGAAAGTTCACCGATCCCGAATTTAACTAGTCATTACGCTATGCCTTCAGCCACACAGCGGCTAATGACATTACCGACAGGGACAAGGGATACTGGAATGGCCATTTCTGGCTCATTAAGCGTCATCAGCCAGTCAGTAGCCAACTCCAACTGGTGCCCTACCCAGGGCTCGAACCCCTGCAATTTTGATCAGATATGACTGTGCAATTTCACGAAATGAGAACCCAAGTTGTTGAAATTCGGCAAGACAACAAGCCTTTAGCTCCATGCTTAGAGCACTAGACTTCCAGCCAAAGGCTCGCGGGTTCAAATCTCGGGTGGGGAATCACTTGTGGCCAGCTTTGACTGGCTGATAACCAGAAATGACCGTTCCAGTCTTCCTTGTGTTTGCGTACAATAATATCTGCCATACACTACTAGCCGCTACGGCTGCTGGTCGGACTCTAGAATGAGCTCCAAGACAGAGGGAGACGAGGGAGTTCCGTTAGCGATCGGTGAACCTTAGTTGACGAGTATTTTGCAAAAGAGAATATGACCTACGAAGGGTGTTTCGTGTATGTTACTCGTTATGCAGCAGTAACGTAACAACGCCGACTTTCGAAGAGGCTGCTGTAAGGCCAGCCGCCAGATACGTATTTTGTAATCAAATTCACACATATTTTATACAAAAAACCCGCGCCAGAATATTCATTCTGGTTAGTATTTGATAGGAGATGTGGGTATCTTTGAAGAGCCAACCTGAAGAACGAAATATCTCAATATTTGATCATGTTGCATAATAGGTCACTTGAAACATTTTCGATGTCTGATACCTTCTTAAGAGAGTATAGAAATGTGCTAGTTTCATTACGGTGATAATACCGAGCTGATACTTTTGACAGTATATCGGGATCCAAGGTACTCAGGAATCAAAATGCACCTATTTCGAAGAAGGCTCGATTTCCTACCAGCTTAGTAAGAACATTTTTGTGCCAGTGTTCGGTAAAATGTATGTCAAAGTTCATAAAGGCACCGAAATCAATATGAAAAGTGTGCATTTTTTTGAAAATAGTCATTTTTTAACAGATGGCTCGCTTGAAAGCCAATATTCTGAAGCGACTGCAATATTTTAGCATTATACTGCAGGAAAAGTAATAATAGCAACCCATTTAAGAGCAATTTTTAAAACAATGACATCGTCGAGAAGTTTTATTAACATATAATCTGACGGCAGAGTCGGTTTTTAAACGTACCTTCGTGAAAGTTCACCAATCGCGAACGGAAATCACTTATCCTGTTCTGCCTTGAGACTAATTCCCGAACCTTTCCAACAGCCACGCAACGGCTAATGATATAGGTAGAGTTACTTTACTGACAAAGACAAGGGAGACTGGAATGACCATTTCTGGCCGTCATCGGCCAGTCATACCCAACCCCAAGTGGTGTTCCACCCAAGGCTCGAACTCATGACCTTTTGATCAGAATTGGTGCCGCGAATGTCAGAGCACCTGGGGCTCGATATGACTGGCTGATGACGGCTTATGAGCCAGAAATGGCCATTCCAGTCCCCTTTGCCTGTGCTGTTAATGCCATCAGGTCGGTCTATTTAAGGAAACTGAGTATCATATTAAGTGGACTAAGGCCCAATCCTGAGTCTTTCACATTTCACTGATTGAATGGAAATGAGCCTTTTTTTCTTTTCGAGGCTCTATTAATCAGACTGTTGGTTTAACACAGCTTTAGCTATTAAGCTCTGATTAGTGACATTTCTGCCTTATTTCAGCACAATAATCAAGTCTTGCAAGGGCATTCTCTACCTCCTCAGAATTATATGGTGATTTATACTCATTGATAAACGCTTATCGATCGCTAACGAAGCTCATTAGCCCTGCTCTGCCTTGGGGCTCATTCTCGAGCCACGCCAACAGCCGCACAGCGACAGGTAGCATTGTCGGTAAAGGCAAGGGAGACTGGAATGGCCATGCGGTGATTGTCTGCTTAGTTAGACTTAGAAAATTGTGGCTGTGAGGTCATTTCTCGAACGAGGCAAATAGGGTGTCTGTGTGTCGGTTCTCTTCAAAAGTGCTGCCTCTGGGCTCGTAGGGTGTCCATTTCTGTCTTGTGGTCATCCCGATTATCTCGTGTATGATCCCTGATGGTGGAAGGGGGGCAAGTGGATTTATTTAACGAATGCATGAGAAACTTCGCGTTCCAGGTGCTAGACTGGCTAAAAGAGAATACTAGTAAAACACTGGAACAGTAAGCTTATCGCCCTGAGCTTTCAAACTCGTACAACAGTTCCTCGTCAGAGGTAACAGCAGCCACAAAATAGGCGATGCTTATTGGAGGATGTGTAATAAAGACTTTTCAGTGACGTACGTTTGATGATGACTGCGCAGAGCTCTGTTCGCCGTCGCCAAATCGATATATCGATTAATTGATTGATTTTGGAGTTGTGCTTAAACGTCTTATGTTCCCTCTCTTTCTTTTTACTCTTCAGAATGCAATTGTCACGGAAAGGCCGATGCTTGCGAATACAACCAAACAGTGGCCAATCTACAGCTGAGTTTGAACCGGTTTCGTGTCCGTGAGGGCGGTGGCGTGTGCATCAACTGTCGGGTACATTATTTCCTCATTTATTATAAACTTAGGATGCTTTTTTGCTTTAAATGCGCGGGGAAAACCGTGCCCACGTTGTATTATGAGGATTCAACTGCTGGAATATGGATGCTTAGAACGCTGCAAGTAATTCGAGAGGTCCAACCAGGACTGTTACCAGAAAATTTCCAGGTTCCACTGGTTCCAGCTGTTCATTTGGCGGATAATTAGTTTTATGCATATACAAAGATGAGGTTCTTTGTCAAAAAAATTGCCATTTGTTCAGGCCAGTATACCAGGGGGTGATACCTACTCGTCGACAAGGGGAAATTTAAAAAAGGAGGCTTCTGGTGTGCTCAAGGTTTACGTAAAACGTGAAGAGCTAGGTTCCTGGAAGTAGTTCAGAATAAGCTCAAGAAGAGGGATCGCCAAAACATGAAGATGATTTGGCAACAGTAGTTTATGTAGTGCACCTCATCAACCCCTACTCCCAGCATTTTGTCCTAGGGAAACGGTGGTTATAGGGGTTTTTAAGGGTGGGGAATTAGGATAGGCAGTAAAATATACTTTACTAACCGCTATCTACATTTTTTTAATTTTATTGTATTTCTTCAAATTTTTGAAAAGGTAGTAATGGTGGTTAGGATGTCGTCTACTTCAAATTACCCGAGGTCCAACTTACCCCTCTGGAGTTATACTATTATAGCCCACAGTGCGATACGCCGCGCACATCTTCAATTTACATGCGGATCAACTGTACCCGAGTCACAGGAATTAATCTATAAAAGCTATTACTTTGAGATCGAGACCACTCGTGAATGGCTTATTATACAGACCTGAGTTTTTTAAAAACTATACGCAGCGTCGCAGAGGAGAAAGAAATCCAGGATTAAAATTGGAGCCTTTAACCTAGTTCCCCAGAAGAGGTTGGGTTCATCTTAGCGGTTTGGAGAGCCTGGCCGATGCTTGACAAGCCGGCCAGCTCTCCAAGACTTCGAAATGTATTCAAACTTTTCCGGTGAGCCTCTCTTAGTTCTAAAAAACTAAATTTTGTATCAACTATGCTTTATGAAAAAAAAGTGTATTCATTACCTATGTTGCTTGGTAACTGAAGGTCTTCAATACATTTGCGTCTAGTTTAAATGCAATCATTCAGGCATATTCAGCATCCATCAAACATTATCATATTTCAGGTCACGATATATTTCAGCTTTTCAGTTGCTTAGAAATTCATTTCTGTTCTGAGTATAGATTAATATATATTCAAAGTGTTTAGGCATAGACGGAAATTTAATCTCTACGTATTTAGGCCGATGTCCATTAAAGGCTTTTAGCTCGTACTAGTATGGTAAATTACACCCCGCATAGAGTCGACAGAGGATTAGAACACCGCATGATGCGAAGAATGCTTCCAGTAAAAACACTCTACTTTGCTAACCTCTGTTTTTTTCCTTTTATTATTTGCATTGGGCTAGTTTTACTAAGGGCTTGGAAGAGCCGTTTATCTCCTATGCTTATTGCACTGGATATTTATGTGTTTTGCCAAAAAATGCAATTTATGCTCAAAGAAATACGCACTCTGTACATGCCTGCAGACGTTAGCCCCATCATCCAATCAGCCGTCAGCTGACTGAATATTCATCAGGTGTTAACGTTCATGAGTATCTTTCCCTCCCTCCCTTCCTCCCCCACGCCTATAGGAGATGACGATGGGTATCAACTGCGAGGACTGCATCCCCGGCTACTACCGTCCGCTCAACGTGGGACCCGATGCCAAGGACCCCTGTGTGCCCTGTGACTGCAGGGGACACGGTTCCACCGGTACCTGCGTCTCCAACGACGCTCTTATGCCCGAAAAGGTGAGACTGCCAAACCGATGAGCTATTCCTTTTGACCGAAACGGTGACCAACTGGGTGGCCGAGGGGTGTGGGTATTGTCCGGTTTTGGTACTCACCAGCTGTTGCACTTCAAGTGTCTCGCAGATGCCTCTGACCCCTGTGGGGCTACTCTCCTTTTGATTTCACTGAACAGGTTGTGTTCAACCAGCGGAGCCGAGGTGCAGGCACAATGATCCGAGTTCCCTTAGCGATTGGTTCATGTTCACCAACGGGTGTCAATATTCCCCGGCAAGACAATGTTTCCATGGCTCAGTGGCTAGAACCTTAGGCGTCTGATAAACAAGTCGGGGTTCGATCCTCGGCTGGTGC